CTACCACTCCCCCTGCTTATGCTCTCTCTCTCTCTGTCAAATGGATAAATAAAATAAAAATTTAAAAAAAAGAAAATTAAGATTTTAATTATTTGAGAGTGTGCATGAGCAGGGGGGAGGGGCGGAGGGAGAGGGAGAAGCAGACTCCCTGCCCAGCAGGGAGCCCGATCCAGGACCCCAGAATCATGACCTGAGCCAGAGTCAGATGCTTAACCCCTCTTATAAAAATTCTAATGTAGAAATTCATTGACTTGTTCCTTCGGATGGCAGTGTCTTCATTTCAGAAATGAGTGTTTCATAATTTGAAACCTATTTGCTCACTTGGCTAGTGTTGGAGAGGAAGCACGGTTCAGATGTGGCACCCAGTTCCAGATTGCTCAGCACCACTCACTAGCTGTGTGACCTTGAGCAAGTTAATGTCTCTGTCTCAGTCTCCTCAGCTGTACAAGGGAGTCATAATAGCATTTACCTGTTAAGTTGTCATGATAATTAACTGCAAAGTGTTTGGTGCAGGGCCTGGCACATGGCAAGTGCTTGTTTAATAAAATTTACTTATTTGACGTTTTGTGTCAGGTACTGAGGATTCAGTGATGAACTTGGTAGATGAGGTCTGAATAGCTTTATTTAAATAACGTCAGGGAGCATTAAAGCCAGCGCTCATGCCCTGTACTAAGTGCTCTGTGTACACTAGCTCATTTGATACTCTGATAACCCCGAGGGGTCAGCACACTTGTTCCAGTTCATAGGCGCATAAACTGAAGGCAGCGATTGCTACTGGCCCAAGGTCACACAACTAGTAAGTGATGGAGGAGTCTGTCATAGTCATGCTTCTCACAGCTGTACTTGTTCTAGAGAATGGAATTTCTACCAGTGGGAGTACTTTGAAGCCAAAGTTACTCCTTTGTATGATCCCTGGAGAAATGATTAAGTTCATGCCTGTGGGAAGGACTGCTTGAGGTTAGCCATTGCCAGCAGGCCAGGGAGCTAGCTTTGAAGAGGGACACACACTCCTCAAATCACTGTGACATTTTAATTAATTTAAGAAGAGTTTTTTTCTTCTTAACCAGCTATCACTGTTACAGAATTTAAAAAAAAAAAAAAAAACTTTGGACCATTAGGGGTGCCTGGGTGGCTCAGTTGGTTAAGCGTCTGCCTTCAGCTCAGGTTGTGATCCCAGGACCCTGAGATTGAGCCCTGTGTCAGGCTCCCTGCTCAGCCGGGAGCCTGCTTCTCCCTCTCCCTCTGCCCCTCCCCCTGCTCGTGCTTGTGCTCGCTCTCACTCTCTTTCAAATGAATAAATTAAAAAAAAAAAAATCTTTAAAAAAAAACTTCTGACCATTAGCATAAACACGTTTCTCTTATAATTTTATGTTCTAATGCTCTTGTAGAGCTCTTTTTCTTGACCAAAATTTGGCTTCTAGGGCTAAGTTTCTTGTTTGAACAATTGAAAATTTCTGGATCTCTCCAGAATAATTGTGGGTATCTAGTACTGGTAAAACTTACTTTAACTTTGTTTTTGTAATACATCTTTGTTTTACTTTGAAGGCTCATACCCTCAGCATATTTACTAAGTGAAAAAATCTGTGTTTGAAGTTATTTAATGTGAAATATTTCCTAATCAAGTGCTTTGAGTCCGTAGAAAGTGTTTTAATGATTTAGGGAACTCGTTTATGGAAGTGCAGCTTGGTAAAAAGTGGTACGTGCACGATCCCATGCGAGGCAGCGCCCTGCTGTGTCCATGGCATGTGCAGTCACGTATGACTGCAGCAGCCGGGCCAGGGCCACAGCCATGTGAGGGCGCCTCAGGCCCGAGAGAGCCTTTGACTGGAGCAGACAGTGGCCCATGTACACATGATCTGAGTCAGTGTCCGTGCTTTAACACGCTTGCTTCTGCCCTGCTAGCGTCTCTCTGGACCGCTGGTATACTAAACCTGCCCCTCTCTGAAGGCGTGAGGGTGATTTGTCTTTTTTTAAAGCCTTCACTGAGTCAGAAACGAGCTGTGGAATGTTCTTTAGGTTTTACAATGGAAATTCATTTATCAGAGTTGCCTTTAGTGTAGTCTTGCCTGGATATTGTAGGATGTAGGTTACAGTTTTGCACAGCACACCAGACAGAAACTGCGCAGGTCTCTTCTTTGCCCTAGTTAGCTGCATTCTCATGCGGCAGCTTCTTGTGAGCGTAGGTGTTGGTATTTCTCGTACCATAAGCTTATGGGAAGGGATGTGGGGTTTCTGGCTACTTTTTGCTTTGTGCTTGAGTAGCAGTTGGCTTTAAAGATTTTGTCTTGTGAAAGCTCCAAGGGTAAAATGAACTGTGTTTGCTGGAGACATTTACTTTGCTAGGGACAGGGATTTGAGAATGAAACGCTGACTGAGTGTCTACTGAGCCTTCGAAATGTGCCTGTGTCACGCTGACACTCGGAGTGGCCGGAGGATGGCTTGAGGGCGTGCAGGGACTGGCTGCAGCAAGGAGGGAGGCACATCACTTCTGAATCATATGGTACGCGATGCTGGTTGACAGTGTTTGGCTTTAGAACTAGTGAAAACACCTATTTTTGCCCATCTGTAGAAGAAGAGTGTACTAACACATGTGGCTTGGAGGAATTACCTACTGCTCTAGCACGTCATGAAGCCAGACATGGCACTGACCCTGAGAATTTAAGGAGGAAATAGCCACCATCGCTGCCAAGCTGGAGGGACCTGTGAGAGTTTCATTCTTTCCCTTCTTTCTGGGATATGGCAGCCCTACCTAGACATGTTGACTGATGTCCTAACATCACATAGCCAAGTCCAGGTTCAATCGAATCGTTATTTTTTGAGACGCTTTCTGAAATTGGGCAAAGAGCTCAGATCTGTGACTCCATGGCTTTTCCGGCCATGCCAGCAGCCCATGAGAGGTAACAAGAGGTCCAACTTTAAATAGTAGTTTAGGACCATGCCGAAAGATAGCCCCAGTTCTCCCATGGGCTTCTGCAGAAGGTCAGTATTTAGGTTGAATTGTGCCTCCAGGACCCTCCCACATCTTCCAGAGGCCCTCTGAGGACTGAGCGTGGAGCAACGTGTGCCCAGGGGTGACCCGGAAATTGGCAGGTGACCTCCCCTCAGTGTCCTGACATCAAGCATTAAAGAGCCGTCGAACAGGTTGGCAAACTGATCAATAGGTTTAGAATTAACGTTTCCAGACTTGTATCTAGGAGGGACAGGACAGAGACCCAGCTGAACCCAGCCTGGGTGATCCACGTATCTCATTTTTTTTTTTTTTAAGATTTTATTTATTTATTCATGAGAGACACACAGAGAGAGAGAGACAGAGGCAGAGGGAGAAGCAGGCTCCCCGCTGAGCAGGGAGCCCGATGCGGGACTCGATCCCAGGACCCTGGGATCATGACCTGAGCCGAAGGCAGACGCTTAACCGACTGAGCCACCCAGGCGTCCCATGTATCTCATTTTTTAAGAAGCACAGTGGTGTTTCCTAATAAAGCCCATTGTTGCCATGGCTAGAGGCAACAGAAGCATCCAGTTGTATTTTCAAAACTGTGTTTGGATATTTCTGTCTTTCCTGGAGTTAGCAGGTCTCGTACACGGCGCAGCAGCGGTGTTTGTGGTAAAGGACGCCAACGGGACAGCTTGCATCATGGCCAACTTCTCCGCTGCCTTCATGGCCAGCTATGACACCAGGAGCGGGCCTAAGGTAGGAAACACCAGGTCTTCCATGCAGTGTGTGGGGTGTGTGTGAAGGTCTTTTAAATTATTGTTTTAAGTAAGTGTTTGGAGAAGGACATCACTGTAACACAGTAGCATGTGCATGTGCCCTGCTGGGCCGTGGCCTGTGCTCCGTGTACCCTGAAGCCACAGTCGTGACTCGTAAACTATCCTGCTGTCTGCTCTCACTGCCCCGTGGGAGCGTTGTCCCAGACTTGTGCGCGACTCCCCTCTGTGGTCACAGTGCTGACCAGCCTGATGGGTCAGAGCCTCTCCTGGGACCCCGGTCGTCTCATACTCTTTCAGGCTCAGGGCACCACTGTGTCTGCTGTTTGCCAGGCCGTCTGTAAGCACCGTCCTACTCTAAGATGCCCCTCAGTTGTCCTCTTAAAACAACTTGTACTTCTGCAGGATAAAAAAGGCTTTTTGCATTTGTAGATTTCTAACAAATAAGGTGCATTTGTATTTCTTTCTTTGTTAATTACCTGTTGGTGGACATTTCTTTTTTTTTCAATTTCACTTCTTCTATTTAACATTGACTCTTAAATGTATCTCTAAACCAAATGTTTTCAGTTCTTTGTTGAAACCACATTTTTCCTGCCCGGCCCCCATGTTGACCGCATCGGATCATCTTACTACCACTCAGGGGCAGTAGTGGGGCCCAGTGTTGGTGGGAAGGACAGAGCTCCTTTGGAGCACTCGGGACTTTGTGCCAGGTGCTCAGGCCTCATCAACTCGTGTGTGCGGGTCTCCACGTAAACGTGCTTGCACCCAAGACAGAAGAGGCCTGGGCAGGTTCTGTCCCGCAGAAGCGTTTCAAGTTACAGAGACTGGTCCAAACGCCTTTTGTGGTCGTTGCTACTTTACTTTTTTTGTGTTTGGGTTTTTTCAATGTCATTTTGAAAAATATTATGTTCCCCAAATGGGATCACCCGCATGCTGCTGTGTGCCTTACTCTTTATCACCGTATCTCTGTCACCTCGTGGAGTTCTGTCATTTTTTGGGAGCAGCATTAGTGGACAGCATCACCACAGTTGGGTTAGCTGGTCCAGTTCCTTTTGGGGGTCTCTAGGTGGTTTTGTAGTGGTTTGTTTTGTCTGTAGTGGTCAATTCAAATAGTTCTGCAGCAAACACCCTTTTCTCTTTGTTTAAAGAGACTTTTTTAAGTACAGTTGACACATGATGTTGCATCAGTTTCAGGTTACAACTTAGTGATTTGACAAGTTTATCCATTATGCTGTGCTCACTACACATGTAGCTATCATCTGTCCCATAAGGAGACATGTTCCTTAAACATTTTTATAGCAAACAAGTAGTAGTGCCTTTTTCAAATATAAATACAGAGCTCACTTGAAGCCTGGTAAGAATTATTTCAGTTTACCAAGGTAATTTTAGTTTTAATTCTGCTATAAATTAAAATTATGTTAACAAAGAACGTTCAATTAAATAATTGTCAGCTTTATCTTACACTTTATTTTTCAGTCTGTACCGACACATAATACTGATTTTCCTCGTGTTTTTATTTATGTTAAAAATGAATATGCTAACGGCATCTGAGAGGGAGCTGAGGTCCGACTTCCTGAAGGTCTTCCTTTGGCGTGTCTGAATCCCTTTCGTGACCTGCATTCTGACTGGGTCTGTTGTCCTTTGTTCTAGAATGTAACCTTCGACCTGCCATCTGATGCAGCAGTATTAAATAGCAGCTCTTGTGGTAAAGAGAACGCTTCTGACCCCAGTCTCATGATTGCTTTTGGAAGAGGACATGGACTGACCCTCAGTTTCACAAGAAATGCAACACGTTACAGTGTTCAGCTGATGAGTTTTATTTATAATTTGTCTGACACACAGATTTTCCCCAATGCAAGCTCCAAGGGTAAGAACCAAAACTGACCAGTTATAAAGTTAAGGAAATTGGTTTGGAGAGTGTCTAAAATTTTAACCAAGTAGTTCAAGTAGTTAAAAATTGATTTTTTTTTTCTTTACAGTTATCAAGACTGTGGAATCTGCAACTGACATCAGGGCTGACATAAATAAAAAATACAGATGTGTGAGCAACAACCAGATTCACATGCACAATGTCACTGTCACACTCCATGATGCCACCATCCAGGCATACCTTGCCAACAATAGCTTCAGCAAGGAAGGTAGGACACTGCCTTTGACCCGGATGCCCAGGCCCAACTCCAGGGCATGCAGACATGGCTTTGAGCCCATGCCTGAGGACGATGTGTATGTGAAGATTCGTGCAGCCAGGGACTGAGCTGGCAGCTCGCACTTAGAATTGCGCAGCGAACATTTTTTTCTCTAAGGAAGGTGATCTCTTTAGGTGAGGTTGGACTAATACTGATTTAAAAGGGCAAAGCAGTTACATCCCGTGTTGGGGAGCTGATGAGGTCAGGGCGCAGGATCTCTTCCAGTTTAAGCCAAGTGTCCTTTCATCAAGACCTAGGCTTAAGCTCTGTCCAGCTTGGGGGGCCAAGGGGCAGATGGTGAAGGACCTTGAGTGCCTTTTGGGCCAGGTGTTGGGCGGATGATGTACCAGGGAGGCACCTGCCAGCCCAGCTCCACTGGTGGGCTCTGGGTTCCAACAAGACAAGGCTCCGGGCCCCTCCTAGCTCTGTGGTCTTGGGTAAGGTGGTCAGCCTCTTGTTTCCTTCCCTTGTGAAGTAAGAATAATAGCCTGTGTTAGCAGGTCCTTAAGGTTAAAAAGGAAATTTATGCAAAGTGCATATTTCAGGGCCTGGCTCAGTTAGTAGTAAAGCATGTTGTCATTCAACTATGACTGAAGAAAGCTCTCTTCCTCAGTCCTACCAGTCAGCTCCCAGATCACTGTCCTCTTCCTGAAGGGTGAGGAAGGGTGACCGCCTCGAGGAAGTCGTCCTTCCTTCTCGGTGGTTAGCCATGTTCTTGTGAGCCTTCGGTTTGCAGTGTCCCCAGTGGTGTGGCTGGATCCATAGAGGTGCCTGCTGGCGTGTGACTGATTTGCACCAAGTCACTGGTGCTGAAGGGCATGATGGACTGGTTAGCACTTTGTGCAGTTGGGCGCAGCCCTCCTGAGAGGCATGCATGCTCTTAGCAGGGCCAGAACCTGGCCTGCAGGTGCCATCCAGCCCATCTCCGGTTTCTGTACGGCCAGGAAGCTAAAAATGGATGTTGTGCTTATCAATTTGAAGGTTAAGAAAAATCAAAAGAACATTTCACAGCACATGAAAATGACACGAAAGTCAAGTTTCAGTGCCTGTAATTAGAGTTTCCTTGGCACACAGCCGTGTTCGTTCACACACCTGTTCTCTATGGCTGCTTTCACACTCTCATGGCAGAGTTGGGACGGGCACAGCCACCGGACAGCCACAGAGTCTAAAATGTTTGCTGTCTGTGACTGGGAAAAACACGTCCAGCAGCAAGTGTACAGGGTGGAAAGGGAGGTCTGTGTGAGCTGGAGCAGCTCTTGAGGAGACCGGCTAGACAGGCCCTCTCTACACCCCCCTTGTCTGGGGAGCTGCGTGTGTGTATGGCCATCAGCAGGCCCAAGTGTGCACACTGACACCCACCTACTCAAGCAGAGGAGTGACTACACGGGGGTTAGAGTCACACGAAATGCCTCAGGAGCTGATGCTCACGGTTTCAGGTCTTGGGTGGCTGGGTTTTGTCCCCAACGGTCTTCTCCCTCCAGTCTTGAGCAGAAGGGAAAAGTAAAAACTGCCAGAGGCCTTGGGAAATGAGAGCATTCTGGTTTGCTGGCTCGGTGCAGTGACTTCACTACCACCTGGGCCTCAGGCAGTCGTGGAGTAGAGCTTCTCACCTATACAACTTGCTTTCTTCTGCGTGGAAAACTTCTGACCACAGACAGCGATGACCTGGCCTCCCCTGTCTGGGGTGCCCGGCTGCTGGGCTTCCTGAGGGCACTAGAGCCCAGGACAGGGCTCCAGCTTCTGGTCTAAAATCACATGACAGTGTGGAGAGGCTAATTTCTTTTAAGGTTAATTGTTTTGTTTTTTAAATAGATTTTATCTTTCAGAGCAGTTTTAGGTTCACAGTTAAACAGAGAGTGCAGGGTTCCCACATAGCCCTGTCCCCCCATGCACAGAATCCCTCACTGTCAGCATCCTTCACGTTACTCCCAGTGGAGTATGTATGCGTGTGATTCCAAGTGGAAAAGCTGCTTCAGGGAGGCCGTCCCTCCCTACACCTGTGTCCCAGCCGCTGGCCCCCTGTTCTTAGGTCTGCTCCCATCCTACAGAGGATTCTGTGAGTTGTTGATCAGAAATTTGGTCACTAAGCTCAGCCTCACTCCCCATCTCCCTTTGTGTCCCATGGTTCATCAAAGCTTTCATTTTATGTTAAATCTGCCTTCGCTGATATGTCTCTGTTTTGGAAAGGAAACTTGCTGCCTTTTAAAGACTCTAGAGCGCTCTCTTAGTGAATCTGTTGGGAAGAGGAGTGTAAGAGGCATCCCAGAGATGCACAGAATGTCCTGTACAAGTTGGCATGCCCCTGTGACAGGCCGGAGGGCTTGGTGAGATCATGGCACGCCTGCATACTCTTCACTGGACAGGAAGGAGTCCCCATAGGGCTTTTGGGCTCCTGTCACCATCAGGCCACATCCTTTACAGTCACTCCTGATCAGTCTTTGCCTGGAGTGCTAAGAAATGAAATGAGCAAACAAGCTCCAGGCACCCCCCCCTTCCCCCACCACACACCTCCCCACTCCCACCCCGTGATGTCTTCCTTGTTTTCTGGGATGTGGTCCTCTGGTGGCCTGGGTCCAGGCCTAGTCACTAGGGGAGTTCTTGGAGCAGCCGTGTAGGCAGGGAGGAGCTCCAGAGTGGGTGTCTGCTCTATGGGCGGGGGCTGCACTGTTCCCAGAAATTACTGCAGCAGACCTTGAACGGCACAGGTGTGAGCTGTGTGGGTCCACTTACACGTGGTTGTGTTTCAATAAATGCAGTATGGTACCGTAAATATATTCTTACAATTTTTTTTCCTCTACCGTCGTTGGAAGAATACAGTATGCAATGTCTATAACATACAAAACGTGTGTTAATTGACTGTGTTATTGATAAGGCTTCTGGTCAACAGTAGGCTTTTATGATTAAGTTTTGGGGGGAGTCAGAGGTTAACGTGGATTTTCGACTTTTCGGGGGTTAGAGCCCCTCACCCCGTTGTCATTCGGGGGTCAGCTGTATTTGATGACACGACCTGAGCCATGTTGAAGCTCAGCTGGTAGCGTATTCCACTGTTCCTCAGCTCCCTGTGAGCCTGGGGTCTGATCTTTGGAGAGCCCCCTGGCTGGCCAGCACCTGCCTCACCACTTTCTGTCTGTGTTGCTGTTTCTGACCGTGGTTTGCAATCAGAGGGACCTGTGTATTTTCCCTACAAGCAGGAGATTTGATGTAACTGACCACGTATAGCAAGACAGCATAAATCGCTTTTAGAAATACTTGGTTTCTGTTAAAATTGAGCCATTTGTTTATCTCCTCTTGTGCCAGTTTCATTTCTTTGGTTCTTAGGCACAGTCCTTTTTGGTTTGGTTTGGTTTTTTGTCACCAAATTGTAAGCTTCTTCAGGGAAGAGAGTCCATCTCAAATATGTTAAGTATATTTTATATTCTCCTAGTCTGCTGTACTTATGGATTCTTAATGAAGAATTGTTACATGAAGATCTATCCAAGAATTAGTAAATTTTTGGTCATAAAAACCCATGTAAAGTTTTTATTTGATGGACTGCAAGTGTTGGGGCAGGTTCTGTGGCCTCACTCGTCTGTAGTGTTGTGGGGGCCTGGACCAGAGAGCCTTATTAGTTCACTCTGCCTCTCCACGTGCACTGTCCTATCGGAGAAGCCTCTGGTACTTACAGATTTCAGTTTAAAAGGAATCGAGCACAGGCCAAGGCTGCCGAATTGTCCTGTCAGTTCTGTTGATGAAGGTGAGTGCTGAGGAAAGCAGCAGATGTTGTCTTTCCCAGAGGTCTGTAAAGGAAGGCAGGTGGTTCTCATTCTGGAGTAGTCTGAGAAGGGGAGTGTGTCCCACTCTGTGTTTGTGGGAATGGCATTTCCTGCCCCAGGCCCAGCAGAGGGTTCCTATTATTCATCTTTGCATCTTTAAGATTTGACGTGTGGCACTTGTGGATGCTTCTGTGACCGTTAGTTCAAAATAGGAACTCTTCACTATGGTTCACCCCAAGTTCACGTCCCACCCAATCCCACACAGTTTGGCATCATTTCTCCCTTAGGAGTGACTCCCAGGGTGGCTCAAAGTGAAGGAACTGATGCTAAAATATCTCTCTCCGTGTGAGACTCTTTCTGATTTTAGCACGCAAGCTTCCCTGAAAGTCGGCTGCTGCCAGATCATTTGGGGCCTCCAGGGCACAGAAGCGTTTGAAAATCATGCGAAGAGGAATCGTGGAAGGATGTGCAGCCTGCATTTCCTGGGGCCCCTGGTCTTCCCCAGAGGCCTCCTCATGCGTGGGTAGCACTTAGCACACTCCATGCATTTTACTTGTGATTTCCTCATTTGGACTGAGCATTCTGCAAAGTAGGACTGTCGTTTCTGCTTCAGGATGGGCTGCTCAGAGCGTGGACTCTGCATTTGCAGTTAGGAGGAGGGCGCTTTGTCCGTGCAGATTTCCGCAGTCTTGACGGAACATTGTGCGTGTTCCCAGGCTGATGTTTTGCAGCCTGCTTTATGAAAACAGTGGATCGTGTGTAAAAATGCTGGTCAAATCCGTGTAGGTTAGTCTCCCCCGTGCGTGCTGTGTGCCCATCTAGGCCAGGATTTGGAGGCCACCTGTTGTTGTTCTTGTTTTTCGCATTTAATTATGTCACGTTGTGTGACAGTTTGTAAAGTACTGATGAGGCTATTCTTAACAGTGCAGCTCCGGGGGAGACGGGGGCGGTGTGGCCGGTACACCCTGAGGGGTACGTCTCTGGCAGCATCTGTCCTGCCGCCGCGAGCCCAGGTTACACCCACTCCATCATGCTCTTTCCATCTTTGTTTTCTGTCTAGAAAGGCACTGGACCATACAAGATTGTATTGTGTGAAGGCACGCTGCATGCGTGAGCTTTCCAGAGAGTGCGTGGAATCCCTTCTTCGTCAGTCCTGCAGGGTGAACTTTCCCGTCTCTCCCCATCTCAACCCCCCCACCCAGGTAGATGGGATGTGGAGGAGGAAGGGCAAAGCTTCCTTTGAGCTTGGAGCAAGAAGTGGTCAGGTGTTCAGAAGTTTCAGCGTCTTCCCAGTGGGCGCTACAGCCCTGGATGTGGTGGGCCCGCTCCAACGGCTCAGCGGAGCAGAAATGGGGATGGCGTGGACGTGGAACTTGGATGGAGATCATAGAAATCAAATCCTTGATTACCCACAGAAACAGGGTGGTTAAACAGAGAGCTTAGTTTGGGGCTGACGGTCTCCTGAAGTGCTGAGGGATGCCGGGTCATCTCCACAGGAGGCAGCTGTCTGTCCTGGAGGCACCTACAGAGAACGTTCGTTTATCTTTGCTTTTGGTTCAGTCGGCCTTGATTTTGAATATAAATTTTTGTTGTAAATCATAGTGGATCAAATTCTGAGAGCCTGAATCACATTTAAACTCTTGAGATCTCTGGGGGCACCATGTGCCCTCTGCCAAGGCCTGTCCTGCTCCAGCTTCCCTCACTGCTGGATTGTGGTCTCCTTCCTGGGAGTCTTCACTCGCACTTACTGGGCCTTCTCCCTGCATGAGGGTGCCTGCCTGTGGGTGCCTTCACCCCATCTTGCTCCGAATCACCCACAGCAGCTGGCTGACTCGTGTACCTGGTCTCAGCTCTGGTCTTGTCCCGCAGGGACCCACCTGACGCTCGTCCTTCTCAGGGCCTCCTGGGTTTCTCTCCCACGGGCTCCATGCTGACAGCACAGCTTTGTCCTGCTGTATGTGTCCAGGGCTGTCTGTCCCTCCGGAGCCTACGAGCTCTCTGGCACCATGCCTAGCATGCAGCCGCATGGAGAATGTGGTTTTGAACTGTTGCTCTTTGCAGTGGTGTGTGGCCGCCTGTCCCGGCGGCAGGCGACAATGAAGGTTTTCTTTATTTCACAGTATGAAGGAAGGTTTGTCGTGCAGAGGGGTAGGTCTGTGAGGGCAGGGTTGCCCAGAGGCTGAGCTGGAAGAGCATCCAGTCAGAACTGTGGCGCGGTGGCAGGAGTGGGGACGGCCCTGTGGGACAGCGGCGCCCGCCAGTCCTGTACTTCCAGAGTGGGGTCAGCACGTGCCATCCTGGAGCAGACTGAGAAATCACATTCTGCGGGTGGGGCCAGCTGAGAGTCTGAGGGGGTGCCTAGCTCCCGCTGGCTCTGAGGAACTGGGACTTTGTCTCTCTTCCCACTTGTCGGTCCAGAGACGCGCTGTGAGCAAGACGGGCCTTTTCCGACAACGGCGCCACCGCCGCCTCCCCACCCTTCGCCATCGCCAACGCCCGAGAACCCCCCCGTGTACAAGTACAATGTGAGTGGCACTAACGGGACCTGCCTGCTGGCCAGCATGGGGCTGCAGCTGAACGTCACCTACAAGAAGAAGGACAACACGGTAGGCTGAGCCCCCAGAGCCCTTCCTTCTGTGGTGGGAGTGTTGGTGCGTGAGCAGCAGGACTCTGCGTGTGGGTCTGAGAACGGTGGTCGTGTCTGTGCTGCGGTCAGCCTCTCGGCACTCGGCCGCACCGTACCCGTCTGTCCACATGCCAGACGTGTGGTGTTCGGCACCCTACAGGACGAGTTTATTGACCCCAAAGAGAACGTTAGATTTTGCTTTAAAACGCTACCACTGCAACGTTTTTTTGTGCTTTTCCTTTGAAATATTTCTCCTTACTGGTGACCAAGTCTTTGGGGCTACGCAGGGAACGTGTTCGTGATGGGTGTGAAGTGTGTGGCTGTCGGGAGATGGGGTGGAGGGGCAAGTGTGTGTCCTTGTGAAAATAGCAACCAGGAGGAGCAGGAAAAATGGTTTTGGAACCCAGAAATCTGCGCTAGAGTAAACTTGGGATGTTTTCTTTCTGGTTTTGGTTAAAATGATGGTGGCCTTGAAGTTCTTATTTTAAGATTACTTTTGTTTTTCCCAGAGTTTGGAGGACCCAGGGCATGAAACAGAATGGTAACTTGTTTGCTTTTCTCACTTAAGACCATGACGAGAGTGTTCAGCATCAACCCGAATAAGACCACTGCCGGAGGGAGCTGCAGCCCCCAGCTGGTGACCCTGGAGCTCCGCAGCGAGAGCATCCCCCTCCTGGCCTTCCAGTTTGGAATGGTGAGGCTCAACGTTCCTGTGTACTCTGGGGGCTTTGATGCCAGAACCGCTGCACGGCGGTCACTGGGCTGAGTGCTCTGTGCACTGGCCAGAGTGAAGATCGGATTAAGGTGCCAAAACCCACAGCTCTGCCTTAGTGAAGAAGGGGAGTCTGCTTTCTCCGCCTTCTTTATTTGCTGGTGTTTTGGATCCCCGCCCCCCCCCACCCCCAATCCTGTTTTTATAAGGAATGCCTCGGTTGGTTCTTTATGCAGCAGATGTGAGGGAGCACCTGCGGCCTGCCCACAGCCACCTTCTGCGCCCAGCTGCGCTCAGCTCAGCCTCCCACCTCACACACTGTCGTCACCCCTTCCTTGAGGGGCAGCGTCTCTGGGTCTTGGCTCTTCTCTTCCTTATACCCGTCAGGGATGAATCCTCTGTGAAGTTAGCAAAATCATATGGGAAGAATAGAAGTACCGTCTGCGAGTGTTTATAGTACATGCTGCAGTTGAGCTGATTAACAGTCCAGTTTCTCCTAATAAAGTTTGTGTTCCTAAAGTTCAGCAAACTTTGAGAAAAGCTTGCTTTTTTAGAATGTGGCTTCTTCAATCCCTATTTTAGCAGAGCCTGATTGTGTAAAAAGGTCTAGAAGGAACTAACCATAAGCATTTGTGTTCTCGAGATTTATGCGATGCCTTACACAGACCGCATACCCCACAGCTTCATGCTGAAGGTAGAAATACAGGAGTCAAATTTATTACCAGATGACCCTTCAGGTTTGACAGTAAGCATGTGTCTGGCAAGTGGTTAAGGATTATCTTCTTCTCTTTAAGAGCGCAAGTACTAGCCGGTATTTCCTGCAAGGAATCCAGTTGAATATGACTCTTCCTGACGCCAGAGGTAAGACCCCCACAACTCCCCTGCCCGTCCAGGTGCCCCAGAGCACTCACTCTCACCTACCTTTGCAGACCCCACCTTCAAGGCCGCCAACAGCTCTCTGAGGGCCCTTCAGGCCACCATCGGGAATTCGTACAAGTGTAACGCTGAGGAGCGCGTGCAGGTCACAGAGGCCTTCTCCATCAATATCTTCAAAGTGTGGGTCCAGGCTTTCCAGGTGCAAGGAGACAAGTTTGGGTCTGGTGAGTAGCACCGACGGCAGCGTTTCAGACCCTGCACGGGGTCTGCAGGCTGTGGTTCTGTTTGGAAATTTAATCATTTAGAGCAAATTCCCCTTCCTGAGTCCCCCTGCCTTTGAAAGGCCCAGCATCTACAGATGTGAACAAGCGGCACTGTTGCGCAAAGGTCCTTTTCAGAGCTGGCATGTGTCTTCCCCTGTGAGAGCAGGATATAGGGATGCGGCCGTGTGGTGTGTTGTGTCCCCGAGGTAGTCGACGAGAACTCAAGCCTCCCGGCCAGGCTGTGAGAATGGATGGGGAGGAGGGGGAGGCCCGTGAGGTCGCCCGGTGACAGCCGGTGTGAGCACGGTGCATTCCCTGTCTCCGCAGTGGAGGAATGCCAGCTGGATGAGAACAGCATGCTGATCCCCATCGCCGTGGGGGGTGCCCTGGCAGGGCTGGTCCTCATCGTCCTCATCGCCTACCTCATCGGCAGGAAGAGGAGCCATGCCGGCTACCAGACGATTTAGCACGGCCTCTAGAGGCACAGACTAGCAGCCGCTGCGGGGTCTCTGCTCCTTTCCCTGAGCTTAGATTGGTGTTGAGAGAGGCACACTTTCTTGCAAACTGATTTCAAATCTGCTTTATCCAATGTGAAGTTCATCTTGCAACATTTACTATGCACAAGAGTAACTTTGAAATGACGGTGTTAATTTTGCTAACTGGGTTAAATATTTTGCTAATGGTTCGACGTTAATATTTACCAAAGTAGAACTTTAAGGTGGGAGGGTAAGAGTGCTTTTCTAAGAGGGCCACTGGCTCCACTATCATTTGGCTTTTTAAGATTCTGGTGTTTGGCCCCTTCATTCTTGACTGAGATTTCAGCCTCGCCAAGGGAGGTTCCCTGGTCTTGACCTTAGGACCTCTGAGGAGGGCTGGCTAGGTGTTAGGCTGGTATGCTTAAGAAATTAGTAGAGAAAGAAGATCTTAAAACAGAAGTACTCCAGAAGATGAAAATCTGGAACGCTTAAATTAAGCTTTAGAAGCCAGGACAGGCCCGGCCACCCCGCCCACCCAGGCGGCACAGCTCAGTACTTGGGCACGGTCACTCCTATGCGTCAGGGCCTTTGGTCTTTCCATGCTCTGCCACTCAAGAGCTGGCACTTTTTTTAAAATAGATAAATGGGTGTTATTTTTATTTACCTTTTTGTAAAGTGATTTTCAGTCTTCTGTTTGAGGTTCAGGGTGATCCTGTTCTGCACTTGTGTAAATACTGGGTATCACACTCTGATCTACCCGCTTGCCGCTCGGGTGGCTGTGCACTGAGGACCCTTCATGTCTCGCATTGCTGTAACAATGCTAATAAAACATCTCTTTCTTTCTCTGTCTGGACCTCATCCTTCTGTCTGCTCTCATGTGAGGTCTCGTCGAAGGTGCACGGGTGGAGGGCAGGTGTGAGCAGGGATGGCAGGTGTCTGCCGGTGCCCCTAGCTTTTGGGAGAGCTTGTGTTGCTGCTGGTCTTACTGGGTAACTTGAAGGAGAAACAGGAGTTGTGAGTGAGCAGCGACGGCATTGTGTCCCACCCACACGGTGAGGATGAGGATGGGTGCGAGGAGGGTGGTGCAGGCTCCTGCGGGGCTGCTCCTGTTTGGAGCCCTGTGGCCACACCCCTTTGAAGATGGGCCGCCTTCACCTCCTCCAGGATGGCGGCAGCAGGAGGCCCCACTGGCTGTGCTCAAGAGCTTTCAGAGCAGGAGCTGAAGCCTAAGATTTATTTATTATTTTTTTTTTTTAAAGATTTTATTTATTTGAGACAGAATGAGAGACAGAGAGCATGAGAGGGAGGAGGGTCAGAGGGAGAAGCAGACTCCCTGCCAAGCAGGGAGCCCGATGC